TAATTAGCATTGGACTTGATGACCATGAATAACGTTGTCCTAGGTGTTGAGCCAACTGATAGATCTACCTGGATCACACCCAGAATGTTGTTGGTCTTGTCCTCATAATTGGACAACACCATATTATGGGGCCTAAGATCTTCATCGGTCTTCCCCATTTTCTTGAATAGTGAATGCAGCATCAGGTTAACTGTCGCACCTCTATTAACAAATACTTTATTAACGACCATGTTGTCTACCTTCGATCTAATAAATAACGGCTTCAGGTGATACATCATTCCTGGATCATGCCTTTTGAACACAACATGTTGTTCTCAGACCACACCGTTATTCATGACATAGTAACAAAGTGGCTTCTAGTTAGCAGCCTCGTCTTGTAAAAAATCCTCTTCATCTCTAGACACTTCAGACACCCTATCGTATTCAGCTAGCAATACAAACATTATGCCACAATTAATCTGTAAATTGTCCTCAGACTCTTCATCGAAGTTGTCTTCGACCATTTCATCATCTGAGTGGGGTGTGTAATTCGCCTCTAGGGCTTTGTGCTTCATTGTGAAGGCTTCTCTTTCCGCCTTCTTTTTTCTTTGATGATGCGACCATTGGGTTCACATCATGAGATTGCCGCCTTAGTAGGTCGAAGGGACATGAGATTTAACCTTCGACTCTTTCCGCTTGTTGTGACTCAGCATTCCCACCTTAGGGTCGACCTCCTTCCGTTTGGGGTGATTTCCCCTTTTAGATTTGAAGGCTTCACCCATTTCTCCTTAGGTGCGCTTAGTGGTAGTCGGAAAGTCTTTCGTCGAGGATGTTAAAACTTCCTCCTATATTCTTCGTTTGTACGAGGTTTGCTCCCATTATTTGGGGAGAACATGGCATATTGGCTTCCAACCCGGCCTCTTCTGGGTTCGAATCTCCTTTTGCCCTCCAGCATTTTTGCCGCTTCTTCATCAAACACGGCACTACATCGTGGACACATCATAGTCTTGGAATCGTTAAGCTTTCAAGGCTTAAGAAAGTCAATCAACCCCACTTCAGCCTGGGGGTAAACGGCTTGAATGTCAGAATCGACGACAACGAAGATCTGTTCAACCTTGTCTACTTCCACGTTGAAGCCATCAACAGCTTCAAGCATCAGAATCTCCACAGGCTCAGCATAGCGAGTATCTTCCATCTGCATGGGATCTGATTCCACCTTAATGGACGAATTTGGCTTTTCGCCAAATTGTAACTTTCCTCCCTTCAGAGTTTTCTAGACCAAATCCCTGAAAAGCACACATTGAGAAGTTTTATGACCCAGAAAATTATGATACTTGCAGAAACCTCTCTTCTTCCTTTGTTCTAAAGGAGGATTTTTTAGGTCAGGAGGCACTATAATCTGACCATCTGTGACCAACAAATCAAATATTTCATCATATTTTGTAATATCAAAAGTATAAGTTCTAGTGGTGAACTTCTCATTTTTGCTGGTCTCGACAGGGTTTTTCTCATTCAATGGTTTCAGCAAATTACATACATAAGGGGATCCTGGCTTAAGTTTAGCCATGTCGACCTCGCCCTCTTCATAACAATCATCGCCTACATAAGAGATGTAATCATCTGCTTCTATATAAGCAACTTTTTCCTTTTTATGGTATTTATTTGTTCTAGATTTTTCAACTTTTAAGCATACGGTCTGGCGACCCCTATCTGCCAACAATGCCATGTCCCTAAGGTATTAGATATCTAATTTATTCCTAATTGAATAGTCTAGGCCACCAACAACCATTTCGACTAACTCATTTTCAGTCACCTGGGTGAAATACCTTGTCTTGAGAAGTCTAAATCTATTCAAATAGTCATCTACCGATTCAGGGACTTTTCGCCTAACACTAGCCAACTCTTTCAAACTAATTTTCGATTGTCCCGTGTAAAATTGTTTGTGGAACAGTCTCTCTAACTGACTCCATGATTAGACAAAGTGTGGACGAAGAGTTGTAATCCAAGTGAATGCATTCTTCATTAGATAATTGGGTAAGTATTTCATCTTCAAATTCTCATTATTCGCAATTTCGTCATCCTCAGTTTGGTACCAGGAAACATATTTTACTATCGACTCATTAGTGTCTCCAACGAACTTAGTGAATTTTGGGACTTTTCATCCCTTGGGTAACTTTGTTTGTCGAACGTATTTTGACAAAAGGGATATAAAATTAGGCCTATAAAGTCCCACATTAAGGCCATTCTGGGAAAAAATTTGTTTGACCACGTTTGTTATGTTATTATGCCCTCAAAAATTATTTTGATGGACATGTTTAAGCACTTGATCAGCATTCTGATTTCTCTAAATCATCAAAGACCTAGGGTTATTTTGTTCTATTTGTTCTACCTCTTCCCTATTTTGTGGAGGTTCAAGTAGTTGAAACTCTTGGTTTTGACCTACAGTTGCTTGTGTTGTCCCATTCTCAAGGGTCTCGATCTGCCTAATGTTTGATATTTTAGGGGTAGGTCGCACCTGTATTGTAGGCGTGCAAAGAAATTTCCCCATTTTATTTGCCAATACTTCATAGGTTTGATTTGTATTTGCAATCAAAGGGTTGAAAATTATTTCCATTTGTTGGGTGAGAGTATTAACTAATTCTAAATTACTCTTGTCTATTTGTTGCCTCATAGGCATCATTAGAGGTTGTATTTAAAGATGGCGTAATTTGAGGCATGTAACTTATCCCTCCTGGTTGCGCCATATTGTTAATGGCTGATGTTGAGGCATTGTATGGATTGTACAATGGCGTCGTGGCCACTATATTTTCACTAAAGGTTGACATATTCTTATGAAGGTTAGCCATCATCGATGTTGGCATATCATAAGAGTAGTCTCTGCCACTTTGTGAAATTGAAAATCCAAATAGAGGTCTCCCAATTGCAGGATTAAAAAGTGGATTTCCTTATTACGGCGGGGGAGTTGCTCCCTATGACAATATTGGTGTGGTTGGCGTTGTTGACATAACCGGAGTCGTTGTCCTGACCGGTGTCGAGGCTACAAGCTCTTCAACCGTCGATAGGGATGATAGTTCTACTACATTTTAAGCATTATTCTAGGGATTGACATTATCTATAAGAGGACGCGACATTCTAGACAAAGATTTTCTATTTCTCAATCGCATGCAAACTACCTAGAGAAAAAACCCTAAATAAGTGAAAAACTATGAATATTTGTGAAAGATAAATATTTTAACACATGTCCCGCTAGGCGTGTCAATTTGTTTACACGGAAAATTGCTAAGCAAGAGTTAGTCTCTTAATTAAAGGTTAATTGCAGGATCAAATATTGAATCTTAAGACATAGTGTCAAAACCTTGTTTTATAGTTTTCTATAAGTAGTATCTAATTTCGACTTGGTCGAAATAATTACTAAAAGGTTGTAAAAAATGTAGATTTCGCTAATGATAAAGAGTGTAGAGAAGATAGCAAACTGGAAGTGTAAAAACAATGTAATTAAATGAAACTGGAAATAATTTGGCAAAATAAAGTAAAGTGGATTTTAAAGACTTTGCGTTCGAAAATAAAAGGTGGTGTTTCATTTTTCATACATTCTCCCGCTACGACTCTTTTCTATGGACAGTGGTAACTTCAAGTTTTAAGTGAGATTTTTGTAGTAAAATGAACACACTGAATTCTAGAAATGAACTCTTATATATACTAGTATGAGAATAATTGCTTCTAATATTCCTATCTCGCCACGTGAAGTCTTGCATGTAGTCCACTTTTGCACTCTCTCCCTATGTCCTTTAGTATGGAACTCAAAGGTAATTATTCATATTTGAACATAACATCTGCGCGCCCTAATAACTGCTTTTTCGACGCATGTGACGCTGTCGAAACTCCTTGCGGTCAGAATGTTCCTAGAACATTTCCAAATTTACTAAGTCCAAAATCTTTTCAACCCAAGACTCAACTTAAGTACACGTTAATTTGTCCTTTGTTGAGATTTTTCCATAATTAAAAATCCCAACCAACACCTGACTTATCTTCTACCCTAATTGTGGACGCGTCCTTAATTTCAAGGGAATAAGCAATTAAGCTTCTCAAATTCCATCTTCTACGGGCTTAAAATAGAATGACTCAACAAGTCAACAAACAGATAAGTAGTAGAATTTTTGATATTGATGATTATGTAAATCTTAAGCTCCAATCTTACTGACAAGCTTGTATGAAACAACATGTCATCCACAAACTATTGTCAAAATTTTATGATTCCTTTCTATTTGAGGATCGCATTGTTTCAACTTCCTATAAATTGCAACTTCTTCCATCTGCATCCATACACAATGTATTTCATGTTTCACAATTCAAACTAGGCTCAAACCCTCAAGGACAAAGTGTTCAACATCTACATACACCATTGACTCAGGTTGAGAAGATTCCTCTTGCAATCCTTGACAGGAAGATGGTCAAGCGGGGGCACCTTGAAATCCTTGACATGAAGAAATTTCCAAATTTTCACCCATGAGGAAAATATTATGGAATGATTGGTTACTTGTGATTGAAAATATTATGGAATGATGATTTGTGGTTGGATTGTTATATAATAATTTGTGTTTGTTATATAGGGACAAATAGAAAACTCAGTATATGATTCACTTTAGTTGTTTTTGTGAAAAAATAATAATAATAATATAACATGTATTACATGATTGTTATGAGTTACATGTTTTTGTTCTTTTTAATACTATTTTTTTCTCTTTTTCTTACAATACCTTTTATTATTTATCATTTCATTGCATTGAAATTTTGAAAACAGCAAATAAAAAAAACGAACAAATAAAGTAATTATTATTACTATTATTATCAGATCACCAGAGTAGAGTATATACCAGCACAAAAAAATGGTATGAACAATATACCGAAGATAACCCAAAATTGCAGTTAAAAAAATATGCCACATCTCACAAAACACGCTTGTCAAAAACACAACCTCTAAAAATGACAAATTTACATACAGAACAGTCCTCGTCGGGCGCCTAATGCGCGCGAGGAGATTGCCTAACAGACGGCAGTGGCGATGCAGTAGGAGTTACATTTAAAGGCGTTCGGTTTCGTGCAGGAGACCTTCTCACCGGAGCATGAACTCTCTGTTGTTCCGATAGAGAAATCCGGGCTGCTTGTTTAGGAGCTTCTATCTGTTCAAGAGTTGCTAAAACATCTATCATTGGAGGCCTTGATTTAGCTTCTCTGTTAAGGCATTGAAGAGCAAGTGTAGCAGCCATGAATGCTCCTTTTTGTGGATATTGGCCTTCTAGTTTTGAGTCCATGATTCGGAATAGTCTTCGTTTATCGCCTAAATATGGTTTTGCCCAGTCTACTAGATTCTGGTCCACGCCAGCTATTGTCTTGTCCACTGCGCGTCTTCCTGATAAAAGTTCAAGCAAAACAACTCCAAAGCTGTATACGTCACTCTTAGCCGTAAGCCGACCTATAAATACAATGATTAATGCTTAGTGTATGAACAGTTAGAAGTCCTATTTAATTGCATTTAATATAACAGTGACAGATTTTATGAACCCTATTTAAGTAGGGTTAACTGTGACAAACTTTGCATTTTGTGCATTTTCCTGACTTGCACGCCCGCGGCCCTCACCGCCTATTGACACCTAAGAACTAAGTACTAATAATGGTATAGGTAAAGCAAAAGTATACCAGTTGCAACATATTCAGGTGCTGCATATCCTTGAGTACCAACAACTTGAGTAGACACATGAGTTCTATCACCGGTAGGACCAGCTTTAGCCAAGCCAAAATCGGATAGTTTCGAATTAAACTCCTGCAATCCAAATGCATGATGAGTAAGAAATTTACAAAAATACGAAGTTATAAATAAGATTTCATATTCTCAATGATCTTACCGCGTCCAAAAGGATGTTAGAAGCTTTGAAATCGCGGTATATGACTTGTGATTTGGCATTGTGAAGAAAAGAGAGGCCTCTTGCAGCACCAATAGCCACTTTCATTCTCACTGGCCAAGACAGTGGTTGTGGTCCTCCTGTCAAATTTCAAGAACACAAATCAAACTTAGATATTAACAAACCCGAATTTCAAATTTTAAACATCTTAGTTAAGAAAGGAAGAAACATTTAGTGATTATGGAAACTTACTTCTAAACAAGTGATTTTCTAAGCTTCCTTTAGGCATAAACTCATATACCAAAAGCCTGTTGTCTCCCTCCAAGCAGTATCCAATTAGTTTAACCAGATTAGGATGATGCAATTGTCCTAGATAGTTAACCTCGGTCTGCAAATAGATTAATGCTTCATTAACTATAAATTCATTATCATGTAGAGGAAAGAATGGAAAAAAAAACATTTACTTGCCTTTTGGGGGGGCAAGGCAAAAATGGGGTGGAAGTATGCATTCATGTTAAGAGTCTCACATCCGCATCGGATAATATATGGTCTCGTCATAGGTTTATAAGTGGGTGCAATTCTCACCTTATAAACTGATTTTGTAAGTTGAATTACGCTCAACCACAATTCGTAAGATGGTATCAGAGTCTATCTAAGATCAATTAGGCCAGCATCTATTAGGTTTCTACTATCGAGTCAACATCTATTAAATTTCTGCTATCGGGCCACATACCATTTATGAAACAATCTTTTCATCTTATAAGTCCGTTTTGTAAGGTTGAGTAAGACTCAACCACACTGATCTTGATTTGTCTGCTCCAAACTAGTTACTGTGTGATTGTGTGGAAAATCTTACCGCACTAACGGTCAGTAGCTTGGAGCAATTAGACCAAGATTGGAAGACACTGATTTTAAGTAAGTAAATATTCTGTAAAGTAAAACTCCAAATCAGAGCTCTTTGATGTTAATATGTTCGCTCAAAATTGCAGACTGCGCGAATGTGTGGAATTACTAATAACAGATAATTCAAATTTTCTACGAAGTCCCTAGACGGACATAGTAACAAAACACTTACCAACCATTCTTTATGACCTTGAAAACCTTCTGGCTTAAGTCTTTTCACAGCAACAACCATTCCCGATCCAGGTTTAGCAGCCGTATAAGTCTGTTCATCAATCCATCCCTTATAAACATGACCAAATCCACCTTCACCAAGAAGACTATCGGGTCGAAAATTCCTTGTAGCATTCTTTAGCTCATTGAATGTAAACGCTTTAAGATTAGGAGAAGACAAGATTTCACCCTCAGACCTCGGTGTTGGAAGAAGACTAGAGGAATTGCTTTTGTCACTGTATGATGGAATTGTTAAACTAGAAGGAGTAGTTTTCGAAATTCCTGTTACCAAAGAAGAACAAAACCAAAGTTAGAAACAAAAACAAGACAAGAAAATCAATAACAACATAAGACTCAAAAAAAATTAGTTAGTTATGGGTTACCAGAAGTGGATCTAGAACTTTGAGCTGCATCAACTTTAGCAGAAGAATCAAGACAGTTACCCATAGGTTTCTGTGTCACAATTCTCAACACAACACGAGTCACTTTTCTGAGCTTCTTCTTCAACGGTTTATAAGTACACAGCAGAGAGAGAAAGGAAGAATAGAAGAAAAAGCAGTTACTTTTTTGGATTGAAATTTCCGAAAATTTTGTGTGGTTGAAGAAAAAGGAACAAAACTTTGAGTGAAAGAACAAGAAATTTGCTAGTAACAGGTCATGTGAAAGGAACACATGTTTTCGGATTCGCGTATGATAAATTATTAATAATCGAAAGATTGAAACAAAAGATGTATCAAGCGCGTCGCGCGTGGACACGTGGAAACACTGTTTTGTCGCTATGACTGATTCGTCAACGTTGGTGGATACCCACAGGAAATACCTAAATTACCCTTGTATGTCTTTTAATGCTTTTTTGTATACACATAATATCTTACGCAATTTACTTGGAGTGAACGCGTTGAACTCTTTGTAGTCACAAAAGTTATGATTCTTTAAATGGATGCCGCATATGGGTTTGTCTAAGAAAGTGGAGTCATTTTTTCTTGCTAAAACTCAAAATTTTGTTTATTAGTTTTACCAAGGGGAATTATAAGAGAAAGATTAGTGACATTTGAGAGATTAATCATTGGTTAAGTTCGCATAAGATTTAAGAATATATTTTGTCCTAGTTATTCTTTGGAAAGATATTGGTGCATGATGGCTTTACTTTTCTTTTAGGTAAAATTGCACTTGCTAGGAAAGGTTTTTGTTTTTATTAAGTAATAAGTAATGTATATTTCGCGCTTATTGGAAAAGGATAATTTGAATGTTATTAAAATTTATTTAAGAGATTTACTTCCAACATACTTCCTTCAATTAATATTATAATTTAAGAAAAAGGTAATGTTTAATGTTTACTATTATCTATGTTTTTTTATTGTAAATTGTTTTGTCAATTTTGCAATATTAAGAAATACTAAAAAATGCAGTTATTGGTGTATGAAAAAGATAAATTATCAAGTATTTTATAAAATTAATGAAATTAAGAAGTAATAATAATTTTTTTAAGAGTATAATAAGAATAATAATGTTAATTATTTATTAGTACTATAAAATTGTTTATAATTTGGTTCAATTATTTTTTTTAAATGGCATATAATAAAGAATAAAATAAAATAGCGAGAGTATTTTTTTAAAGATGTAAAGTTCTCCATACATGAGTTCATATAGTCTATTAAACAAGTTGTTCCATTCTAGACGTAAGCTTTTTTATGCATGGATTTATATAGTTAATGAAAAAAATTGTTTCATTCTTGTTTTAGGTCGGCCAGTAGGCCCAACAAGCAATGCCTAAAGGAGGCAATGATTCACTAAGTCACTCATAGGGTACGAGTATTATCCTGGGGTAGTTTGGAGGCTATTTAAATACAGAATTTATCCAACGACTCTTCGTAACTTACGTTGATGATAAGTGAGTTGTTATAACAGCTCTACTATATAAAGGTGGGCACGCCATTTTCTAGGTACTGACTTCTTTCACTCATTTTATTTGGATACTATCTTGAGCGTTGGAGTGTTAAATTTGCAAGTCATCAACCCTTATTTTACTGTCAGAAGCTTGAGTCCATGTTGCATCTCGCAACCTCCAACCTCTAATAATTCTAGTTCCCTGGAAAAATAGTGGCATCGTTCGTGGGAATCAACATATAACTCCTGCATTTTCCACAATTGAATACTCATTTCTCAATTTACCGAGTCAAAGCTTCTCAACCTAGCAAATTAGATTTCTTGATATTGAACCACATATCCTCTATTTTTGACATACTCCAATAACCGGTCTACTCCGATTTTCAACATTTTGGATTTTTAACCTCTAGATATTCCGATAATGGTAGGATCTAGAACCACTTGCTCCGTTGTTTTGTGCGAAGTAGCTAATACGGCTCAAGCCACAAGAGATTCATCACCTCCTCCTCAAAGTGTTACAGATCAAGTCATCGCGAACACTTCATTACATATACATATCTCTTTCAACCTACTTTGTTCGTAGGATCTGTTCCGCATTTCCAGCAAGGCGGACCTTCATTCATACCTCCAGCATCGTCGACATCATCAATACAAAAGGCACTACCTGGATCCAATTGTTACAAGCCAGTCTTATAGTACAATGTGTGAACGAGTTATTGAACATCGTTTATAACATACTCTAAAAACAAAACTTACAAGCAATAAAAGAATGGATACTTCATCTTGAAGAAAGACAACACAACATAAATTCAAAAGGTAACATGTTACATGAATCTGTCTCCGGAAAAAGTTGAACAATCATTCATGAGTCAGACGCATCTCGCCGAGATGCGACTTTGAGATTTCTAAATCACCAAAAGAGAAAGAGACATCAAACTCCTCCTTACAGTCCTAGACGAGGTTAAGGTAGTCATGTTCTCCCTGAGGAACAAGCAGAGAAATCTTCGTTGAAGAATCGGCAGAAACATCCTTTTGTGGTCGTATCCTTGACAATCATGTTGATGATAATTTGAATTACTACCACGCCAATAACAAAAGTGCAAACTATTTGCACTAATATTGACAAGATCCTCTAGGCCCATGTACAAAGTCTTGTCGAACGAGATGTTGATTCATAGACCAATCTATGCAAGAATTTGATTACTCATTTCACAACTAAGAAAAGGAAACATGTGACAATAGCTTCCTTAAGCATGATCACACAAGGGGAAAAAGATAGTTTGCAGTCATACATCGACCGTTTCACGCAATTGGATGTGGAAGTGTCAGGCTCTTACGAGAGCCTCAAGTTTTGGATCTTTGAGAATGGCTTGAACCGGGATAGCTCCTTTAAGGGGAAATTGGGGCGCAACGAGGCCCATAGTCTGAAAGAGCTACTGAATAGGGAATAACTCATCATTAACCTTAAGGAAAAACATATCTCCCAAGCGGATATCTAGAAAACAACAGATGCAGGTTCCACTTTCTCTCTCTCGCACACACGCACACACGCGCACACACACACACACACACACACACATTCTCTCTCTCTAATAGTTTATTCACCAAAGTTTTCTTAGTGACTTGTGATTGAAAACTACTTGTGAGAAAAGTGTTATACTAGTGTTGTGCTGTAGTTTATTTTAAGAGTGTGATTCTATTAAAGGTTCGAGTTTGGTTCTTGAGATAAACTAATAAAAACCTTTATTTGGCTCTATAACTTAGCTCTGTAAAAGTTATGTTAGGTTATTGAGATTAGCCGGCAAAATTTATACTTGGTTCGTGAGCTCAACCCGTGTAAAAGCTCTTGTTTGGTTGGGGTATAAGCCAATATAAAATCTCTCGATTTGCTTGTATCAGAGGTTCGTAGAAATAACTTGTAAAAGCTTAAGTTATTAGTCAAACTATCAAGAAGATCTCGTGGAGACATGAGTAGACTAACATTTGGTCGAACTTGTATAAATCTTGGTATCATTTCTCTAATTTTATCCACTTTGAAGTCGCTTGTCCAACAAGTAGCATCAAAGTCTAACTCTTGCTAAAGATTAATTGTCCCAAGAGGAAATGACTTTGAGTTATCTAATAAACAAACGTTCATCCTTTAATGGAGAATGGTATAATTTTTGGAAAGAGAAGATGAAGTTCTTCATTGAAGGGATTGATCATGGTAGTTAGAAGATTGTGAAGGAAAGTCCATTTATTCTCACTCAAGTTGATGTTTTTTTAGTAAACAGATCTGAAAAGGATTAGACCAAAGATGATTAAAAATGTGTAATGCAGTTTTGAATGCGAAAATGGTCATCACTACCGCTCTTGGTCTTGATGAATTTTTGCGAGTTTCTCACTACGAGGCTGCAAAAGTTATATGGGACATCCTCCAAATTATCCATGAAGGAACTAATGAGGTAAATAGGGAAAGCTTGGGCACACTGTGAACTTTTCAAAATGAAACTTTAAGAGAACATAAACCAAATTAGGAAACTTTTCATAATTTGAGTTGTCCTTATTGCTTCAAAGTGGAAGAATCGTGCATTCCCTTACTTCTGAGATGCACTGCAGATAAACATATATGGAGCTTAAAGAATAGTTTGGAATAAAAAAGAATGGGTGTCGGAGTTGATAATACGCAAGCGGAATGGACTGAGGTCAAAAGATATGGAATGCAAAGAGAGACAACTAAATAGTCAGTATGGACTGCTAAAGGAGGCAAAGGTCGGCGAAGAGGAAATAATAACATCATTTTTATTCATAAAATTTCTAGACTCGATGGATGTTAAGGATATGTTTGAGATCTTAAAAGACTATGGAATCGTCATGGAGGTATTCATTCCAACTAGGAGAGACAAGAAGGGGAGGAGGTATGGCTTCATTAGGTTTAGAAATGTGGGAGACTCAAGGCTTATGGTTGTAATGCTAGATAGTATCCAGATAAAAGGTAAGAAGATTTTTGCTAATGTACCTCATTTTCAAAGAGGAGTCGTGGTGAACAAAGAGCAAACAATACTGGGCGTGGGGAGAGAAAAGGGTGGCAGGGATTGCAAGATAACCGCAGTAGGTGTAACACCGTTTTCTACCCGCACAAAAATAATGGCAAATCAATTATATTTATCAGAGTAAAATATTGAATGCAATAAAATCATCTCAAACGGGCGCACATTTCTCAATAATTCAAATATAGTCAATACTTCGTAAACAACGGGTTTTTCCCAAATTTACTCAAAATATTACTCAAAAGGCAGCGGAACTCAAAAAGGCAAAAATCCAAAGTTTTCCTTGCACAGCGACATAGTCAAAATAACAATAATCAATAAAACATGGTTCAACTCAAAAGACCCCAACCCGATGTTACACTATCAGAGCAAGACCCTCTAAGTCAACCACAATGGCCAACGACCCAACAACTTCAAAAAGTCCTCGACGGAATCTGTAACGCCCCGATTCTGAATTCCCATTTTTATTGAGTCCTTATTTGATTTATTTAAATGATTATTTTATTTATGTGGAATTTATGTGTTAATATG